AAAATCTATTATTATATTTAATTATAAAATTTATTTTAAAAAAATGNTTAAAATCAAGTAGATCTATAAACATATGAAAATATTGAAAATTGACAGTGTAGATAATATGTTGTAAAATGCACTATTTTTTAGACTTAAAATCTCTTTATTTTTCATAGTCATACATCTCAATGTCGCGATGATCAATCAAATGGTTTTTCAACATTAAAACTACTTTTTTTCGATGGATTTTTGAAGTGCACCTGTAGTTCTACATTATAAGGTTGCATCCTTATATAAACTTTTTCCTTTTTTTTGTCAAACCAACATTGAATGAATCTCTCTATGAGCAACAATATGAGGGGAAATATCGATTAAATGGCCATTCTACCTATTTAATACCCTTGGCTTTCGAGCAAAAAAAGGAAGAAGGTTTCACAACTTCGAGCCAAATGATGAATTTCTTATTAGTGATTTTGTATGTTGATCGACCATGTAATTAATATTTTACCATTAATTAATAACTTACATCATTCTTGTTTTCTTAGTTTTTTGAAAATTAATATATTTAAGTGTCATTCACATACACACGCATCTATGCATATAGACTCCAAAATTTTAGACTCATTATTGAGTCAAATTGGAACCAATCACGTCATTGACACAACAAATTTTGGAGCGCCACTTCCTTTGACCCATTTTCGGGCTCCATTTTTCACATCAAAGCTAAATTAACACTGATTTCCTGAATCATTGATACTAGTGTTTTAAAGACGGTCGAGCTTATTAAGAACCAGCGAGTGATCAGTTTTGAATTATTGATACTAGTGTTTTAAATTAACACGGATTTCCTAAGTGATCAGTTTTTGCTCATAACCCAATGATTTTTTTCTTACACTTTTACTTTTTAGAGAAACCAAAGAATTGGTGAGTTGTCTTGGGCAGTTTCATCCCAGCTTGAAACCGGTGGGTGACCAGTTTGGTTCGTAAAACCTCCCGTTAAGAATATGATATGCGATATAATGTAGAAGCAAAGAACTCTGTTACTAATGTTGGATTACGAGATCATTCACGCCCATGCAAACACGTGCTGGTGAGCCACCGTCAATCTCCCCCATCCGTCATGCGGATGGCCGAGTGCTTTTTGGTTGTATCCTAAGCTGTACAGAAATTGTTTGGATGTACCTGTTATTGCAGACACAGTTCATTGTTTAAATAAAATTAATCCTGATAACGAATAAATTGTTGTTTGGTAGTATCCATAATAAAGTTATTTGAAATAATTTTTTGGAGAACTTTATATAAAAGTTTATCTTTTTTAAAAAGATATCTTTATTTTATTTAAAGCAACTTAAAACAATCACATATTTTAGATATAAAAAGAGCAAAAATAACTAAAATGGGTAAAAGCATTAAATATATAAATAATATCCTACAAAACACAAGATGCCTAACAAACAACTAATGCTTGAGTACATTATTCTAGATATGATAGTATACAACTAAAATAGTATTAAACTAATTATCATCCAAGCAGGCGATGACATACTTATTTTTTGTGGTAATTTGGACATGGTGATTTATTTGCCAAGGGAAAAAAAGGACCCAGAAGCCAAAAGATTTAATGCTCTTGTGGTAATGTACTATCTATTTGTTCCCTCCAACAAAACCTAATTTAGGAGTAAATCTCGAATTTTGGCATGTAACCTCTTTTAACTCATATGCTATACTTAATAAAAAATTCAAAATTACGTTTCTATGTGTGCTTGAAAAAGAAAATGCCTGAAGATTGAATGAAATGGTCCACAGTTTATTAAGGATGGAGTCTAAGTGTTAGAAAACTCAAAATTCAAAATTTGTTTATTAGAGTATTATCATCTAATATTTTTTAGTAGTTTCCAAATTTTCGGATAAAAAAATTACCCTTTTACCTGAAGGAGTAAGTGTATAATATGTTCTCGCGGAAGCATAATATACCGGAGCACAATATACGAAGATGCCAACCTTCTAATTTTAAGGCGCGTCCAAACCCCTCCGATTTCCGTGCTGTTAAGAGTGTTGTCATATTTTAGGTCTCTATCTCTCTCTCTCTCTCTCTCTCTCTCTTACTCTTAAATTTTAGGTCTCTATCTCGTCTAGGTTCTCTCCGTTCAAAAGAACGCAATTGTGGCGTGGTGTGGTGTGGTGTGGTGGGACGCAGGCACTCTTGCTTCTCTGCGGATTTGCCCCAAACCCTTCAATCCCATCTCCTTCTCCCCCCCCCCCCGTCTCTCTCTCTCTGTAATTGAGCTCTGTCGCTTATCATAAGCTTGGTTGCGGATCTTGTGAGTGCGTCTTTCTTCATTAAATTTTCATATTTCCATCTGCTTTTCTCTTTGATCCCGCATGAAATTTGACATTTTTGGGTTTTATTTAGGCAAGTTATTGATGCTATATATTGCTGTTGGATTCCTTTCCGGGCTAGATAGACGCTTTGTGCATTCATTGAAGATTTAAAATTGGGATTCTTTTTTTTTAACCCTTGGTTGAATGGGAATTGATGTAATTGGTTTCTTCCATGGAATATCTGTTCGATTATTTTTGCGTTTGGAGAGAAATTTTGAATCCCTTTGCATCTGTTTCTCACTCTGGATTATCCTCTTTGTTAAAACGATTTAAAAGAATAGATGATTGGTTTGAATGTGGTAATTCCTGCAAGTGATATGTTTTCTTCGGATTAAATTGTAGCATGTAATCGTATTAGACCTATTACCGACTGAAGTAATTCAAATTAGGGGATTGAAAGACCACCTGGTTGAGTTCTTACATTTCAAGGATCATATCAGACTGAAGTAATTCAAATTAGGGGATTGAAACACCACCTGGTTGAGTTCTTACATTTCAAGGATCATATCAAGTAAATCACAAGCTTTTTCTGGTTTGCTTTATTTTGATATAACATCCATTTATATCAATTCATCCTCTAGGGACCAATTGGGATTGTTCTGTCAAATGTTTGCGTTCACAATAATTAAGAATGATGCATTAGAAATTTTCCGAATAGGGATATATTATTGATATGTTAATATCTGCAATCCAGTTAAATGATATCTCGAGCTCCTAATTTACTAACAATTGGAAGTTTTCACAAACATGGTCATGGGAAAGTTGTTTTCCCGAGTGTTCTATCTAAATTGTGAGTGAAATGCTTCTATTTACTAAGAAATATATCCAGAATTCAAATTGATACTTTTCCATTTTTGTTCTTTTAGGCTATAAAAGTACAAGTGTTTGATGAGTAATCTGTAGGAATGACATTGCTTTTGCTGTACTTCATTTAACATCGAATGGGGAAGTTGATATTTATCTGAAGATGCCAACATCATACCAATACCAATACTTGATACTTGTATGTGTAAAATGATTGTCATAAATATTTTATAAATAAATAAATATGTATGCATGATAATTGATTTATATTCAGGTAACAAGTATTTACTATGGTCTCTGTTCACTTGTACTTTGGATATCATTACCATTATATGCAGGTGTGTTTTTATTGAACTTTGAGGCGTCATATATGGTTCTTTTGGGAAATTCAGTACTGAGTCCATGTTTATTGTCGTGAGGTTAGTATCAAAAAAAAAAGTGGATTTTGGTGCAGGCTTGATTGGGGCATGAGGTTCAATGAAAGAAATGACTCAATCTTGGGTAGATATTCCAAATTTACCATCAACACCTGCATCGCCTTCTAATTCACCACCAGTTTTTGCTCAATATCAACCCAATTCTTGCACAAGGCAAAGGTAATGGTTTTCTCTTTGCTTCTATTTGCAGTCTAGATCTTGTTGACTTCTATATCTTATTATTCTGAGGAGGTGAGGCCTATACCTGAAGGATGATGCCCATCAGTATTGCTTGGGAATCCATTTGTTTTTGCTGCATTTGAACTTTTAGCGCGAATGATTTTGATAAAGCATGTAATTGGCATAAAAATGGTTTGTCACCTGATGTCTCTTTGAGTGGGTTCATTCAATAGGATTGAATTAAAGTTGCAGAGTTGTCCTAGGAATTGCCATGGTCAATTTGTCTTGGATCTGATTTCTTGGAGTCTCACCTGGTTCTCGTAATTTTTTGTTGTGTCTTGTTGATTCTCTTGAGACTTGGCCGTGTTTTACTCTCTTGATTTGTCTCAAGTCATTGTTGAGGCCTGAGCTGAGACTATTGTTATAAACAGCGAATGAATGCTTTCTTCAGATTTGTTCATAGTTGAGCTTTATTTATTCAATTCTTGTTTGAAAAGTTTTCAAAATGTTGTATTTGGAATATGTTTAGAAACAATTATAGGGTGGATGATTTTTTATTTTCATGAGTGTCTATAGGACAGCTTTTTGTTCTAAAAAAGTGTTGTCAGGGTACATTCTTGATTATTGGAATTTGGAAAGGGTGCAGT